GTAAATCTGACTATTTGGGGAAGTTATTGGTGCTATAACAGCTTCTTGATTATTTACAGACATGAGATAACATATATATGTGTGTGTGTGTGTGTGTGTGTGTGTGTGTGTGTGTCCTTTAAAACAATGCCTTGGTCTAGCAAATACTTGCCTTATTGTTCATCTGAAGATACTACCTGGTCTGTCCCCAAAACTGTTTTCTAAGGGACTATGCAAGTATTTAATGATGTGCATACCTACTTTGCAGCAGACGTGTCAGTTTAGGCTGTGCTCTTCTCCAGGCTTCATGCTGTATAGTTCATTCAGGTTTCTATAACAATACACCACAGGCTGCAAGTTTCTATACTCATAGAGTATACTTCTCCCAGTTTTGAATGTTGGGAAGTCCAAGATGAATGGCTTAATGTATCCTTGTTTATTGTCATCCTTCTGTTGTTTGCTTGCTTGATATTTTGTTTATAGATAGTAACATTTTTCCATATACTTATGTGGTGGATGATCCAGGCAGCTCTGTGTGGGCTCTTTTGTGTGGAAGGGCACTAATACCATTAATGATAGAGGAGACTTTGTGCCACAATTATTTCCCAGGCTTCACCACTGACCACTATAACATTGGAGTTCAGGATTCAACATATGAGTTTGAAGAGGGCACAGTCATTTACACTCACACACAGGGAGAGCCACTGCACTGGGTTGTTTTGTCTGAAGCCTATGGTGGACTTCTTTAATGCCTCAGGATAATCTGGAAAAGCAGGAACCACTGTGGCATGCAGCAGGAGAGTAGAGAGAAAGTCATCTCATTGGTAATTTGCATATCTCCAAAGTTTCACCTTCTTCCAAATAGCGTATCCTTTAGTCAGGTTGACACAGGTAATCTCTCATCTTATTTGCTCAAAGCCTATGAGATTGTGTGCTGGTAAAGAGGCAAACATCTCATCACACTCAGTAGTCCTACTTGGACTCAGGGAACTGTTTTAGTCCTCTGTCTATCACAGATACTTAACAGTCTACAATATGCTCAGATATGTACAACACAAGAGAAATGTAAGATAAGTTACACATGTTAGATTCTATTTTCATTTGGGTACATTAAAGAGTATCAAAACAATTGCATGAAATTAAATTTAGTGAAACTGTTACCCAAATTACCCTATAGATTATCAATTTTATGCATGTCTCATATAAAATAATCATTGAGACCTATTATAGTCACATCTTAGTCCTTAGTCTTCAGACACCAGTGTGAATTCTAATTCCCAGAACATCACAGTGTGAACCAGTGCATTTCCAGTGTTTGAGCTCCAAACAAGATAATGAGTGGCCACTGCACCAGACTGCACAATCTAATGTTGAATTCACACACACACACACACACACACACACACACACACACACACACACACACACAACTTCCCTATTGAGTTTTAATTAACTCCAGACAGCCTCGGGTTTCCTTCTTCATTTCACATACAGAGTGTCAAGAAGAACAGCTAGTGTCCAGTGTCTCCACTATGCCAATGTCCTTTCATGAGTCAGTTGGAATTATTTTCACTCATCACCAATTGAATTCAAAGAGCCAAAGAGAATAAAACTGTTCTGTGGTCCTCATTCAACTGAACTGCTCCAGCAGTTTGTTCAGTGCGTCCTTAGGCTCACTGACCTCTGTCTTTGGAGAACCAGTGGCCACTTGATCTGCTCTGGATACCCTCACATCACTACTTGTAGGTCTTCCATGGGAATGCTCTCTTTCCTGTGATTCTTCCTTTGACTCTGGTCTTTACTCTTTCTTCCAAACTCACCCACCCTCATAATTTACTCATCACTCACAAACAACTAGCACAAATGTGCTTATTTCTCACCCTGCTTTTTCTCAGGCTGTCATATAAGTGAATGGTTGGCATATATCCCCACTTAGGTACACCACATTAAAAATCAGTATCCATGAAGGGAACATAACTTCTTCTCCAGTTCGCATTTTAACATGCTGTTTCTATGACTTATAAAACTCTTCTATTATTCTCTCTCTCTCTCTCTCTCTCTCTCTCTCTCTCTCTCTCTCTTTCTCTAAATACTCACTGAGTCCATTTAGGCACAGGACAGGAAAGATAGCCCCTCAAGATCGTACCGTAAGTTACCAAAGCTTGGCTCTTTTACCTTTTAAATACATTTTTAATTTGATTGGTTTCTTTACGTCTATCAGACTCTAGTAGCTTCTACTCTAATATCATTGATTACATGATTGGTTTAGCTGGTCAACATGTTCCATTTCATTCCATTCTTCTGTTGTGAAAGGAAAAATAGAAACTGTCTCTGCCTTATTGATTTATGGGGGCCTGGGTTGCCTTATTCTTATGTTAGAGGAATCTGGTGGACAGAACTTCTGTAGGATGACACAAGATAAGTATATCCTCATTTGGAGAATGGCTTAATGTGATGTTATAGAGACGCAGACTCTGCTCATTCTGTTATTTCCCTATAGTTAACAAAAGGCATTCCAAGGTGCTGCAGAAGGAGAAGGAGCCTGGAGAACTCAGTTTCCATTGCCAAGGCATGGAAGCAAAATGGCACTCATCATGTTTATATGCATTTTACAAAAGCTGCAAGGGAGTCTATACACCAGCCAGTATGTGAAACCAGGAGAAACATGGAGATAATTTAGAAATGAGCTCTAGCCTTCCTCACACTCACAGTTTGTTTCTCCTGTAAGCTCACACTTCAGGTGAAGTGGCTCTCAGGTACAGACCTGGCACTTGTTTCAGATGGCTCCACTTAAAGCTCAGAGCAAGCGCTCCCAGACCTTACCATGTCTCTAGTGTTACCTCTTATGGCTTTTAGGTATGCCACATTCTATTAATGTGCTCCTATCATTTATCTGCTTATGCTGTTCTCCTTGAAACCTCATCATCTGGCACAACTTCCTTTTCTAACAACCTGCTTTTCCTTGTCTTGGGTCAACCACAACCTCCAAGGTGAATTCTCTGCTGCTGTCTGGCTCTAGACTGAATATGGATTTAGCATTTTGAGGCTCAATACATTTCCCTGACTGCACTTCCCTGCCTGTTTTCCTCTTTATCTCTTCTTTGGACTCAGAGGATTTTAAGGACAGAGCAGTCATTCTAAGGACAGAACTATCAGACTCCCAAGGACATGGCAGTGATGAGCATTGAACACAGTCATGGTTTGCTGCAAGAGTGTTCCTGCTGGCTCTATGACTTCCACATATGTCTTCTTTGGGATGTTTCTGTTTCATTTCTGATCTGCCTTCAGCTTCTTTGACTGTGAGCCACTGATGTAAGATGACATGAGTTTGGTTGGCATAGGTTTGTGTGCCAGGAGTTTTTTTGTTTTTTATGGAGACTATGGCATGAATTGAAGGGCTATGCTGGAAAACAAGTGGTAAACATGTGAACAAAGAAGTTCAAGTGAAAAGACAGAAGTTCCTTGGTTTGTTCCTTTGGTCAAGAAAGCCATTTGCTCAGTGAACTACTGCTCCCAGGGTAGCCAGGCGCCTAGCAGTTTCTGTGTGTGCTCCTGCCCTGCATCTGGCAGCTTCCTTGGAAGAGGCAGCAGTGAATGAGTATCTTCAGGTCATCCAGTTCATGTGTAAAGACTGGCTGGAGCTTTTCCAAGGAAAGGCACACCATTGTTGGGAAACGGAAGAAAGACATCAATGCAACGTGACTGATATCAACAATCTGGTCATAGTCAAGACAAAAGTAAAGAAAAAAATTGTGGTCAGTCCATTATGAGCATATGAAAATAAATGTTCTCTGATATAACGCCTGATGTGGTAGAGAGCAAGAACCCATGTGACAGAAGTTCAGAGCAGGAAGGGACTGGAGGCAGAATCATCTCCAAAGGTGCACCCCTAGTGACTGGTTTCTCTAGCCTCCATCTTCTAAAGTTTTTTTGTTTTGTTTTGTTTTGTTTTGTTTTCCACTTCCCCAGATAGTTCCTATCAGTTCAGGATTAAGCACTTAGCCTGTGAGGCTTT